CAACTTGAGAGGCTGAGTCAGGAGGAGCATGGGTTCAAGGACAGTCTGGGCAACTTTGCAAGACTCTGTCTCAAAATAAAACATAAAAAGGACAAGGGATGTAGCTCAATGGTAGAGCACCCTTGGGTTCAATTCCTAGTACAAAAAAAATTAAAATGAAACACGATGGTTTCTCATTTGTATCCACTGTAATGATAATATTTTTTGCTCTATAATCAAACAGATTCAAATGTTAAATGTTAGGATTCATCCTGGTAATCACCTAAATAGGTATACCTAGTATCGGTTCTATAACATTCATTTGTTTCATGATAGAAATATCAAACAAATTAAGGTAATAAATCCACTGTCACCATGAGTGATGTACTCAGAATTGAGATGAATGAAAGCATCATCATTATAGCAACTAACAATGTTAACAATAGCTTAAAGGTACTTTGCAAGTGCTAGACACAGCACTATACAAATATTCTACAAGTGCTCTACAGGTACTGATTCATTTAATTATCACAACAACTCTTTGAGACAAGTACTGTTATTATTCCTTGTCATTTTACAGATGTGCATAAAAAGGTTAAGGCACTAAATTAGTAAGGAACAGATTAAGGATTATAAACATGGGGAGAGTGGCTCCAGAATAAACACTTTTAACAACTCTATGCTTCCTGTCTAGTTTTATGTCCTAACTTTTAGCAATTTATATACCCCACAGAAAAAGAGCAGGATATAATTAATTTTTGCCACTTCTTTTCTGCATTTTGTGTGTGTGTGTTTGGGCCATACTAGGAATTGAACCCAGAAGCTCTCTACCAAAGAGCTACATCCCCACTTCTTTTTATTTTTTTGAGACAGAGACTCACTAAGTTGCCAAGGTTGACCTTGAATTTGTGATCCTATTGCCTCAGCCTCCTGTCCCTCTGCACTTGATACTAACAATCAAGCTCTCCTTGGCTTGGGTTGGGATCTGTAGTACACGCCACAGAAACAGAGGAGCGAGCTCCCAACAGTCTCATCGTGGTACACACGCACACTAGAGTAAAAGGAAGCTGCATATAGCTAGAGGCCTCCATCCCTGGGGCACCAACTGCCTCAAGGGCTAAGAAGCTTGAGATCAAATAGTTTGGCATCCTTGTAATACAGTCACAGCAGAACACTGGCATCTCTGTATCAGGTAAAGGAATAGCTAGAGTGACATTCTTTGAGCTATTTCAATCTACCTTCCTTGTTTTAGCCATCACCCGTATAATGATTCTTAAATTTGTCCCAAGCCTAGACTTTTTTCCTGTACTTTGTCTCAATGATCTACTTGAAAAAAGTTCCACCTCTATGCTGTCTCATAGCACATAAAATTCAACATGCTCTAACCGCTTCTCATCTTCTGCAGCAAACTGGCTCTACCTAGGAATTCTGCATCTCAGTTGTTGATACAGAATCCACTCAATCACTGAAGCTTTAACGTCAGGAACTATCCTTAATTTTTGCATTTTTCCTCATTCCACACATCTACCAGTCACCAAACCCATCCTCTCATTCTGGGGAATTTTTGAAATCTGTCTTCATCCCATCCCTATTACCTCTGCCTTAGTTGAGGCCCTCCACAGGTCTCACCTGTTTAACAGCCTCCAAGCCCACTATCCTTAGCCATGTAGCTGCTCCCCTCCAACCAATCTCAACACAGCTACCAATGATCTAACATGAAGATCCAACCAGGTCACAATCCTGCTAAAATGCGAAGGCTTCCCTCTCAGCCATGGCAGCCTTTTTCAATTTTCTACTAAACACACTGAAGGATTTATTTCATTACAACATGATTTTCACAAGGAAATGACTCTTCCCACCCATACTGAATCACTGATTTATAAGATTAAGTTTTAAGAGTCTGCTGATTCTCYATTGTCACTCCATCCCTCCCACATTTTTTTCCGGTATTGGGGATTGAACCCAGAGGCATTCTACTACTGAACAACATCCMCAGCCTTTTTATTTTTCACCTGAGGCAACGTCTTGCTAAGTTGCCAAGGCTGGCCTYCAACTTGTACTCCTCTTGCCTCAGCCTCTGGAGTCACTGGGATCACAGGCRTGCRTCACCATGACCAGCTTTCCCTCCCACTTTCAATGTGACACTCCAGCAATACCAAAGTGCCTGAATCCTCTGATCAATTCCAGAATGCTGACTGTATTTCAGCCTTTGTTTATTCTGTCTCCCCCCTAGAACACCTTCCCATCACCACTCACTCCCTCAATATTACCARATACTTAAGGACTTAGCTTAACTCTTTTCCCTGGTTCTCCTGTTTTAGGAGATATAATTGGTACTCAATTCAACCTATCTCCATCCCATACTTCTCCTTATTTTAGTCCATTATATTTTTATAAAAGTTCTTATTATCTCATTATTCCTAAGCAACACATTTTGATTGTCCAGCAACTCTTAGCTCAAATGTCCTTAAGAGGCACTACCTAATGTACAGACTCAATGATTCTCAAATACATAACTYTTGGGCTACTATGATTGTGGTCCACAGGTCAAAGATATTTGGCAATAACTACAGTAAACTATGTTCTCATTGCAGGTAAAGAGAGCTACAGAAAACTATAATTTAGGAGTTGCCCTTGCACATCGGAAAGAAATGTTAAATCTCTGGCAGAAGATACGAGGGGATCTGATTGGAATAGACACTAACAATGAGTCCTTTTATGACACCTTTTCTACTTATACATGGTCCTGGAATGTTTGCCAAGAATTACTTTCTCCTAAGGACTTACGGTTATATGATGCCTACACCAATAAAAATTTCCCATTTAACTCCGGATTCTCTTCCGGATCGGATGTCAGTGAATGTGACAGAGAGACAGGAAGAAAAAGAAAACGGAAAGGTTTTAGAGTGTTTCAACAATGAAATTTCTACATTTCCTAAACAACTCATCAAAAACTACTTTTTCAGTTATCAAAATTATGATTTCTTGCTTTTGTCTAGTACATTCTTAGCAGCTGGAAATTTTGCCATCTTTTGGATTCTGA